GTCACTGTTACATAAATGTGTTAATTTTACTTCATATCTTAACCCCTATATAAAAGTTACTGCATTAAAAAAAAAAAAAAATCTCCAGACACGGCTTGAAATACATTTAAGAGCTCCAAATGGCTGTTCATAGTTGCTAATACACTGCAATGACTCAATCAAACAAGATCAGCTCACCCTAAACACTCCCTGGACAGACACAGAGAGTTGAGGTCCATGGCTCTGTGTCTAAGTGGAGACCAGTGATGTGTGGCATCCCTCAGATCCCTCAGGGCTCTGTCTTGGGACCAGTGCTCTTCAGTGGCTTCGTCACATACACAGACAGTGAGACCCCAGCACACATGCAGATGACATGGAACTAATTTTCCTGCTGTTTCAAGTGCTTTCTGTACAACATGCTCCCTCTCCCATTCACAGGAACTAAATAACCTAAGGTGTTTCATAGACTATGCTGGCTAAATACCTTGTCATGATTTTTCTCTGCCTAACTCCTCTTGCAACAGGAAGACCAAACACTGGTTTTAATACCGTATTTGCATTTGACAATCTTAGTTTGACAAGTGGCTTTCCTTCTTACAGATCTGGTTCAAAGAAGTTGCTGCTATCCAGGTTAATCAACATTGTCTACTCCTGAAATAAAACACCTCTCAAGAGAAAAGGTCTGGACTTTGAAAGCAGCTTAAGAGAATTAGACTCCCAAATCCTATTAGGTTTCAATGCAGCTGGAAACGTAACACCTTAAAAAAGAAAAATTTTTAAAAAGATATTTAAAAAATTGAAGCTGAGAAGCACAGAGAAGAAGAAACCCTGCTGTTTAATGAAAATACGAAGAACGGGGGGAAAAAAGATCAGCCTGAATTTTCCCTACGAAGTAATTATTCTATTTTAAAGCTCATTTTGCTCTGACTTTTCCATATTCATTTTACAGTAATTAATTTTGCAGTTCATGTTCATTTATTAAATGGAATTTGGCAAAGAGACATTGATTTTTCAGCAAAAAAGTACTTAAAGACTGGTCAAATATTACAAATCTGAAAAACATGTCATCTTTGTATTTATCATGTACTAAATATATGAAATAAGTTCTTCAACATTTTAACTCAAAATTTAAAATGTTTATAGGTTATTTGTACATGTATGGAAGAAAGAGAGGTGATCAGACAACTAAAAAAATAAGTAAAATAATAATAATAAATAAACTAAATCTTATTTCTGTTACCTGTGGTTTTAGCTAATTGTTTCCATCGGCAGTCTTTTGTTATTAAAAAACATGAACACACCTATATCAAGTAGAAGCATCCTAAAACCTTCAGGGTAACTATATCCAGCCACCTGCCTTCACTGTGCCAAGGGTATCTGTGCAATTGTTTATGACATTTGCACTTCATTCAAACCGACTCAACACTCTGTTACAAGGATGTCTTGCAAATTAATCTGTGTATCACATAACATACTTTGCACTATTCAGTGCCTCTCTATGAGGAATGAAATATCCATTGACTTTGTATGCAACGCTATTATTTTAATTTCGCCTTTTCCATACAGGCAGGCAAAACAAGGATTTTTTTTTTTTTTATCTTTGTGTTTTAGACAAACAATTCTTCTTGTGACTTGAAGCCTGCATTGACTGAGTTTCCCAAATAACCTTTTGAAGAATTGCTATAAATCTAAGGAAGTCAGAGGCTCCCAAGTTGTTCTTTTCACAGTGATCCTTACAGTTTAAAGCTGATTTTCTGTTTAATTTTTTGCTATAAATTCCACACATGCCTTAGCTTACTAATTAACCACTAGAGAAAAGGAGTATGCCTGCAGTTCCCTGTACTAGAAGGGCCTGAACTCACTAACGAAGTGTCCCAATTACGTTTCAGTCGAAGTCCTTTTCCTCACTATTGTCATACACCCAGGCAAACAAACAAAACCAAGTATTTTGAATTATGCTATTAACCTTCACTGAAGAATCTGAAAGATGGGAGCAAGCAATGCTAGCAGAAGAAACATAAGCCAAGACTAAGACTTGGTTCATATGTAAAATTTCATTCACTCTCAGGAAGCAGAGCTTTCCATTTCACATGAAGTCAGATTACAAGCCACATGAAAGCAGACGCACCCCTTGCCACAAACAAAGTATGCATGACATCTGTCATGCTTGACTTTTACAGTTCAATTACAGCAGAGAGCTGTTCAAGTTTAACTTAGCCATGCCTCTGACAGCCAACGGTATGCTTATATATTTTCTCTTAAAACACTGAATACTTTCCTTTCTCCTTCTTCCAGCATGCCAGTATCTTTCATTTTATCAGTCCTGTAGACTAGGGGTCATGCTTGATTTCTTTCCTTCTTTCTCTTCCCCCGTCTTTATTAAGTCCATGAACAAGTCCTGGCATCTTCCATGAAGCGCCAAAAAATCCCTTTCTTCCTGTTCTGCCAACTTAGGCTTATCTCCAAGAATTTTCCACTCAACCTAGCAGAATTATTTCTTATCAGATCTTTTTGCATCAGACATACAGATACTAAATAACCTCTCAATTTACTTATGCAGGCAATATTTCTGACCCTTCAATTACACCTATTGAGCTGTGCCATTCATTCTCAAACATCTCAGAACTTTCCTACCATTGCTTTGACAGAGTCCAACTTACAGTATCTTCCTTAGACAACAGCTTAACTAAGAATAATTTATGTTTGCTTGGCGTTTTTTTGTTTGGTTTGGGCAGGTTTTTTTATTTGTTTGTTTGGGGTTTTTTTGGTTGGTTGATTTTGTTTCTTTCTAAATACCAAGCTGTGGTACAGACAGCGAACTCACCCTAGGATGTCTGTGGCATTCACTTGAGGCCAGGAAACAGAACAAAACACCTGCAAGAGTCCTATGTCCTTTTGCAGAGACAGCCAAAAGCAGTATAGGGTGGTCAAAGTAACATTGGGAAACTAAGGTCAGGAAATAAACTCAATCATTTTCTCCTTGCTTCCACCTTTTCCATGTTGGATCTACACTTGCCTAAGAAAATTAACCTTTAGACTGAAAACCTCAAAACTCCAGCCTTCATCTTCTACTTTCTCTATAAATTAGCAGGAAAAAACACCACTGAGTTCTAAGTATCTGTCAAGCAAGTTTTCAGCCATTTTCAGCCATTTCCCTCTCATGTACCTTAGAGCTCCCACTTGAAGCACACATCTAAAAATGCCCTGGTACAATTTCAGTGTTGTTCAGACTTAGACGAAAATCATTACTGGTTTATTTCAAAACCAATGAATAGAAATTTCTGCACAAATTTAAGGCTAGTGACACAGCTAAGGAACTTGCCTGCCTGACAGTAGATTAAGCAAAAGGTTGCAAGCATCTTTAACATTATGCCTCTGGACTAGATACAACAGGCCTCTCACATTATACTTTTTTTATAAAGTGTTGTGTGCAGATCAGTTGTCTCCTTGAAAATTCTTTCACCCTAATACTGATGCCAACCAGATTACCAAATATTTTTCATTTATCTAAATGACAGTTTTCTTTCTGTTGTGTTAGGCAATCTGTTTTTCTACAACGAGAGCCTCTACAAAAACAGGCTCCTGCCAGAGGATGGTAACAGTGCACTAGATCAATCTGAATCACTAAGGCACAGGCCAACTGCTACGGGCAGATAAATCTGTCATCTTGCAAAATACTTCAGTATCCCTTCGGGTATGAAGGGTTTTCAACAGTCTAGGACAGATTAAACCTTTCCATTCTCTCCTATAGAAGACGGGGGTGGTACCACGTAGAATCCAAAAAACCTTTAGAATTTTGAAGGCTGCAGAAAAGCTTCATGAGCAGTCACACAATACACTGGAAGGGCTGGGACAACAGTCATACAGTACACTGGGACAGACTTCACTTCTGTTATGACATCTCTTGCTGTCAAAGGAGAAGGCTGAAAACAAAGGGCATACAGAGTCACTAACATGAAAAGAAAGTGCTCAAACGTGTAATGGTGGCAGAAATGCATAGAAATGGATTTAGAGGTACCAGGGGAATTACAGGGAATGGAAGACCAGCTCACATGTAGTGTCACGGTCACACAGGTCTCAATCACAAGAGAATTTTTCTTGCACACATTGCACTGAAGCATTACATAAGACACAGCAACACTACCATGTAGCTCTTCTCTTTCACGTAAAACATAATAAGACATACAGCATTTAGACCTCAGAAGAGGCACTAAGGAACACTTAAAAATACACTACATAGTTGAAATATTAACAAGATTTACATATACAGACTGAAAGAGCAGGATATTGTGTTAAAAGGCCGTACACTGCAGGCTGATTTAAATATTTCAGTTTCACTGGGATTTACATAGGAAACCTGAAGAAATTGACCAGCAACGCTCTCATTGCTAAACAGGAGTGTACGATTTTGACATCTGTAGTTTGCAGTACAAATAGACTACATATTAACTAGTAACGTCGTCATTCCTGAAAGTATTTTTAAAACCCCACAGAAATGCATTTCCACTGCAGCCCCGCATTGGTTTCGCGGTATCTCAGCCACGAAGAGCGAAACGACGAAGGCGACCGAGCTAGGCGGCTCCGTTTTCCGTCCCGTATGCCGGCTCCGGAGGCGGATCCCCGCTCCAGCGCTTGGGGCCGGCTGTGCGCAGAGGCGCGCTCGGGGCCGCCGCCGGCTGCTGCCGTTGAAGGGGCGCGCCCGCCACTCTTATCGCCCGAGGGGCTGCAGGGCGTGCGTGGCGCAGATACACCGCGGAGCCAGGCAGCGCCCCGTCACCCCCCTGCCCCACCGGCGGGCCGAGCACCGTACAGAAGTTGCCCCGGGACCCCCGGGCTTGGGTCGCCTCCCGGCCCGTCCGCACCGCCCGGCGGGGGAGGAGCCCCCGCTGAGCCGGTTCGTTCCCCGCCGCCCGAGCAGCGCGGAGAGGGGAAGGCGGCACGGCCGCCGGCGCCTCGAGTTGGCGGAGCGCCATCGGGGGACGGGCAGACCCTTCCCGCCCACGAGGAACGCATCCACTCACCCGCCGAACCCCCGGCGACGACTTGGTGAGACGCCTCCTGCAGAAAGCCCCGGGGCTGCCGAGCCATCCTTGCCCGCGCCGCGGCGGCGACGAGAGGCAGCTGGCGCCTGGAGAGCGGCTGCCGAGCCGGGGCCGAGTCCGCGCTGGGCGGGTGGGGAAGAGCCTGGGGGGCCGCGGTTATCAGAGGGCAGGAGGGGGAGCGCGAAGGCCGGGGGCGGTGGCGCTGGGCTGCGCGGCCCCGCGGCGGCCTTTGGCAGCCGGCCCCGGGCAGAGGGCGGCCCCGGGCAGCGCTCGGGCTCGCAGCTACGGGCGTCGCTTCCAGCCGGGATAGCGGCAGCCTCTCTCTCTCAGGGGCAGAGCCGGAACGGCCGGCGCGGCGATCGCCCAGGCTGGGGCGGGGAGCGAGGCTGTGGCACTGACAGCGAGTCGGCGGGGGACGGCAGCCGGTCTCCTGCTCGGGCCCTGCGCTCCTGCCTCGGGGCTGTGCTGTGCAGCGCACGTCCTAACACCCGCACATCCTCTGCTGCTCAGCTTCTAGGAAGGGTCGGTGGTGCCGCTGGGCTCACAGGCTGTCTTTTTGAAGACTACTGTCCTTTTAAAACCTTTAGTCTAAAGGTTGGCTCCAGCTCTTCGATGTTCCAAGGACACGAGTACTTTGTCACTTGGAGAGTAACTATTAAATGTGTTACACGAACCTGTTGGCCCATCTTAGTAAACTAAACGGTGACAAGGGTACGGGGCTGGAAGTGGTGGGAAATAGCGCCATTGCCAACAGACCAAGCACTGTTTTCGGCCAGGCTAATCTCTGCTTTTCCAGAAGATGCCCGAGTACAACGTGGGGGACAGCATGAGCTCATCCCAGAGGCAACACCATTGAAGGGCAAGACAGTTCATAGGGATATTCTGATATATTAGTTTGCAGAGTGTCCGCGAGTGTTTTAGTCACAAATGTTGCTAACTGACTAAAGGTTCTAAGCTTGAAAGGAAATGTAGCCTTTTGTAAAGTAGAACAAAGATTAGAGAAAAACAACGGGTTTATTGCTACTGAAAAGGATGAGAACATAGGAAATATACAGAGAAGTATTAATAAAATGTTAAAAGACCAAGACCCTAATTGCAAAAAGGAATAATAGTCAGGTACAGCATTCAGTTGTATAACTTGAATGCATCCGCCAATAAACAATAACATGAATTTTTGATCTGTGTAGGAGCTGAGTGCAGATTGTTGTGGGAATATAGACTAACTCCCTTAAATTAATAAACATTGAATATGCTGACCTTCAAGTAATTAAAATCTCAACTTCAATGTTTCATTAGCATTTGCCTTAGTTCCCTTGGTTTGGCTCCTTGAGACTGCTGCTCAATAAATACTTCTGGATGATTAAGTCTCCAGTGCTCCCTATCATCAAAAAGCAGATGCTGAAGCATCACCACTTTTTTGTTGCAGAGACGTACGTCTCCCTGGGCAATGTTCCCTTGGGTACAAATAGTTAATCTAGTATTAAGGTGGACTTTGCTACAGTATTTCGACAGCAAAGAGAATTTGGAGTTCATCAGAGAGTGCAGAAACTGGTCAGATAGATTTACTTTCTGCAGAAGGTGTCCCTGCATCAAAGATAAGGTTTACATGAAGAAAATGAAAAATAACGGTCAGAGTGCATGTAAGTTACATAGATGTGTTCACACAGTACCATAACACTTGCTCCTTGAAACTCAACCTCTGCTGTTGTTAGGAAACTAATAAAGTTGTTTCACAGTATTCAAAAATATTTCAGTATTCAAAATTCATTTCAGTATTCAGAAATCTACGTCCCCTAATTCAATTCCCCAACTGGAAATCTCTTTCACATATGGCACATCTCCCTTATTTTCCATCCACCCCTGCCTCCTCCCCCACAAAGGGCAACCTTCCCAGTGTGTGCAGGTTTCCTAAAGCATTTCTAGGCTTAATCCTATTTCCATATGGCCTCTTCCCAAACCAGTACATGAGCGCCACTCCATTATTTTCCTCGATATCCCTGGCAGGGTCTGTTTCCCTCTGTAGTTACTGCGCCCATCCCGGCCCCGCCGCGCCGCCTCTCCCGCCCGCAGGGCGGCGCCACACCCGCGCCCCGGCCCCGCCGCCTGGCCCCGCCCCCGGGCCGCGGCCCCGCCGCTGCGCGCTCCCGAGGGCGCCGGGCGCGCGCGCCCCTCCCCCGTCCGCCCGCGGCTTTGTTGCGGAGGCGGCGGCGGGGCCGGAGCGCGCAGGTAACGGGGCGGCGGGGCCGGGTCGGGGCCGCCCCGCGGCGCTCGGGTCGGAACTCGCCCCATCCTCCGCGGCGGGGCTGCGCGGCGGCGGCGCGTCTCGCCGAGGCTGCGTTAGGTCGGGCCGCTCTGCCCCCAGCGCCTCCCCGCGGGCAAGCGGCCCTGCCCGGCCTCCTCCGCCGGGCCCTTGCGCCGCTGACCGGCTGCGTGTGCCGCGGCAGCCTCTTGGCTGGGTTAATGTGACCTCCCGTGGCCGCAGGGCCACCCGGCTCGGCCGGCTTAGCGCCCGCTCCGCAGCTGCAGATAGGGGAAGCAAGTTTCCCGTGCGGGGATGCGCGATTTGGAGCGGGAGGGAAGGGACGGACGGGAGGGGGACAGCCCGAGATGAAACGTGCCCCGAACAAATTCGGACCGTCGGACCTGGTTCTTCAGTGTCAGATGAGAACTAACTGTGGAAGATACTCAGCCTTGTAGCAATACATTAAAAAAGAAGGAAAAAAATCGCACCGAAAGAACTTGCCAAAATAAAGTTTGTGCTTTTTTTTTAATGACTTGAAGCTGCTTAGGAAATCCCAATGAGCTATGTACCTCAGCTCCTGTTGTAATTTCTGCTATTCATAATTCTTGATGATGATGTGAGAGTCTATTTCTGTTGAGGAAAAAGGCTATGGTTTCTCAGTGTGAACTGTTTGGGAGAAAAACATTCAGTAAATGTACCCAAAGGACTATTTTACCTGAGACAACACACCCTCTGATGTTTGTCCGTGGCAAAACTACAGCTGGGTCTAGGTACAATTTCAGGGGGTTGAGATGATTGGAGCTGGGTTGCTATAGGAATTTGTTCAGCCCGAATTTGGGAATTCAGAGTGCCCTGCAGCACTGTAGTGGCTTTTGAATATTCCAGGAAGTTCCAACTACAGTTAGAACTACAGTTAGTCTTAAATTGCAGTGCTTTATCTGTGGAAGAAAAATCGGTTAACCACAGCAATGTGCTTTCTGGCTCAGATCTCAGAGCTGCAAATCCTGGAGATTCTAGGATCTGTGGGTTTCAGGGAAATGCAAGGATGTGCTTGCCTTGTTCTTGTACCTGTCCTTGGGTATCCATACTTGACCAGTTCTGCTGTGGGAATGTACAATCTGGTTTAACTTGAAACCACTTAGTTTAGATTATTTGTTTATTTAAATATACTATGGCACTAACTTTTAAACAAGAGTTAAAACTATCGTGCCAGTTAAACATGCTGCTTATGTGGCAGTTCTGTTTTGTTTTATTTTGCTGTTTAGTACCCAGAATGTTGTCATTCATGACAAGATTCTCAGCTGTGTGAGACAGAGCTATGTACACCAGTGAGGTGCCATCAATTTGACGGCTATGAGCTCTTCTGCCCCCTCTTCTGTCACTGGTGAAGGGATTAGCACTTATTGATCTTGAAAGTTATAAAGTTGTCTTGCCTGTCGAGCTAAGAAGAAATTACTGCAATTCTAGTTGCAGTATGAAAAGTGAAGAGAGGAGATTAAATTACATATAGGATTATATATGGGTATATAGGTATATATATTACATTATATATACCTATGTGCCCATAGGTAGGGACAGTTGCTGCTACTAGTTTCTGCAGGTATTACAGGTTTTCTTGCAATGGTACTGCAAGTTCCTCAGAGGATGATTCTCATTACAGTATGTAATGGGGACTACTGCCCAATAGTAGTGGGTAACAAATTACATTTTAAGAATCTCTTCCCCAGTTTTCACATGATAACTAATTCTATTTCTTGCCTTTTAGTTTGTTTGCTTGCCTTGTTTCTGGATTTACTTAATTTCTCTTTTAGTTATTAGTTTGCTTGTTTTGAAAAAGGAAATGTTACTTTTCTTCATATTCTGTTAATTTATCCCCGTGTTCGTTAGAAGTCATTCTAGATGCTGCTGAATTAGAAATGCATTATAGTAGCGTTAAACTCTTTCCCTGACCAGTAAGAAGCAAAACAAAGTTTTGTTTAAGGCTTAGTATTTCTCTTGCAGCAAGACAAATCCAACACACTGTATTACTGGCAGAAATAGTATGGTACTGATGCCTCATGACCTACGTTTAGCTTTTTGCAGTTCGTGGGGGTTTTAGTTTCTGAGCGTGCCTAGGTTAATAAAAAAGTAAGAGAGTTTTTGGATCCTGCTAGAAGAGATTAGGGGAGAAGAGGAAATACATGTTTGATAGTCCTCTATGGAAAGAATCAACAAATGATTCATTAGAATTTAAAGCAAGAAGATATACATGAGCTGAGGGTGAAGAGGAAGAGCATCCTGCCTATAGATTACAGTTTTGTGTAAAATTAGTTACGAACTTGAGAGATATCCTAATGGTACCTACTTTTTAGTCTGCCAAACATAGGGCAGAACAGATGCTGTATGTTGATGGCAGTGAAATGCCATAGTGTAATGACTGTAACCTATGAATTGGTGATCTGAGTTGATGCTCACTTTAGTGCAGATCACCCAAATCAACGTAGAGGCTTCTTCTCACTTTTACATCTGTTATCCTATGCAGGCAGTTGATGTTTTGAAATTTACCTTTGAAACAAACAACTGACCCTTCTGGGCTGCCCACTATTGATAGATTTAACTACAAGTTAATGTCGCAACTGACAGATATTCCTGTAAGTATGATTGCTGCCTTTTTCCTTTAAAAGAAAAATTATTTTGAAGGAGTAAGAAAAACAGTATTGAACCTTTACTTGCAGAACAGATACAGCTATGGAAAGAACCAGTGTAAATGCTCAGTTGTTAAGATGATTCTCTGCTGCTTTTAGCCACCAGTTTTTTAAGTGGCAGGATGCTTGGCATGCTCCTACTAGTTTTGTGA